ATAGAGTTGTCAAATTTAGTCAGTATAACTCAACATTACATGGAAATTCAAAAACACTTAAACAATTACAGACAATGAAATATTCGAGTCATGTTTGTCGTGTATTTTGTAACAGACTGAAGAGTTTGAATCAGACATGCGACAACGCTCTATCTATGAGTGTGTAGTATTCACATTTATCAATGATCGGTAAATATATATCATTTAATAGTTCTGTGTCTTTTATTAGATTCAAACTCTTTTTCCGCTTTTTTACATATATCATTTCTGAAGTTATAATCTTTTAAAATAATTTTTTTCCATTGTCTAGTATTTTTGTTAATTCAAAATTAAATTTATGTCTTGGTTCTATTGCATTTTTTGCTAAGACGGAAGTTTCTGTTTTTTCTTAATATAATTATAGTGTTCATTAAGTCGAGTGAATAATTGTCTTTTTGTTTGTCCAACGTAGCTTGCATCGCATTGCTCACATGCGATGCGATATACATTTTTATTCTTTTGTTGGGGTATAATGTCTTTGTGAGTTTTTATAAACTTAGACAATTGGTTTAAATTTCTGTAGGCTGGTTTGAATGTCGTGTTATTAATTTTAAATTTATTGTCTATAAAGAGCATGACAAAATAAAACAGTTTTTCTATGTTGTTATCAGTTGTATCAGTATTGTTTATCTTGTGATTGTTTAGTTTAGTTGAAAACAACGTTCTCAGTCTTTTATTTATTTTCTCGAAAATTAGTTGTATGGGGTAATTATTGTTAATTAAGATGTTAATACATTGTTGTAGATTCTGTTTGTGGAACTTTGGATGTGACAGTAATATTGCTCTATCAACTAATGAATAAATTGTTGTTATTTTTTGATTGATCGGATTGTGTGAATAATAATTAATATATCTACCAGAAAATGTTGGTTTGTGTGATACCAATTACAAACCAAATTATTTTTATCTATTATAATGCTAATTTCGAGAAAATTGAGAACGTTGTTTATTTGTGATTTGAGCGTGAACTGTAATCTATTGTTAATGGAGTTGAACGTGCTCATTACTTCGTCCAATTTGTCTTTCGGTATAGCAATTATTATGTCGTCAACATATCTGTAATAAATTGGTATATTAAATTTCAATGTATCCAATGCTTTAACTTCTAAATCTTGCAGGATAATGTCAGCAATAATAGGCGACATTGGTGAACTCATGGAGGTGCCAAAAGTCTGCTTATAAATCTGATTGTTGAATGTAAAATATGTTGAAGACAAAACAAATTGGACGGCCATCATAATTTCTTGTTTATTAATTTTTGTATTGATGACAATTTAATTAATTTCCATCTATTTGCTATGCTGTCTAGAGCAAGTTCAATGGGTATATTTGTGAACATAGATATTACGTCTAATGAGCAAATAATATAAGTGTCGTTCAACTCCATTCCAGTGATTGTATTGTATAAATGAAAACTGTTTGTTACCGAGAATGGTGAATTAGGTATGCTTTTATATATGGTTCTGTGGAGGTAAGTGGCCATGTAATGTAAAGAGCTATTTATTGTGGATACTATTATTCTGTATGGATTGTTTTGTTTATGTATCTTGGGTATGCCGTATGCTCTAGGTAATAAGGAATCGCTTGACATGAGTGAATATTTTGTGTGTTGATTAATGAAATTCTTATTTTTTCAATCATTTATTATGTCTCTAAGTTGGTTTCTATTTTTTTTATGGGATTTTTATGGATGATTTTTTCTACGGCAAAACATCCTGCCATGGCTCATTATTGCCCTGCTAATTGATTCAATTTATTGGAGTTACTAAAAGGAGCCGGAGGTCACACCTCATTTCTCACTTATTTAACATATTTTCTTACTTAAATTTTCTCTAAATTAAGCTATCTTTAATTACCAACAATTATTTATGCTTTAGTGTAACCAACTGTTGTTGTTTCTCTTTACAAACATAAATAAAATAATAAAAAAATTATATACAAGACTCGAACCTTTATAACCTCTCGAGCACACAAGTCAAAAGTAATAGCCTTTTACGTCTAAGCATAGACTTATATGTCTATGTGGTAGGAGACCTTAAAGTGATTCGTCCCCCACCATCTTATTGTAAGAGAGAGAGACAACTACTCCAGCACTATCTCTGTCCTTTAATGTTGTTCTCAACTTCGTCATATCAATGTTCCGTCTATTATATAAGTCTATGGTGACAGCAAG